CAGCAAAAAAAGACAAATGTAATCCCAGGCGGAATCAACAGAAGAACTGTATAGCATCTCTTTCCCTCAGGTACAGGGTTGCTTCAGTCCTGCCCTCTACATAGCCCACTACTTTACCAACCAGCAGGATCTTCTGTATCCTACATTTCCACTCTTGTTTAAATTCTCATGGAGTTTTTAAAGAGTTTAAGGGGAGCAGGCAGCTGCACAGACAATCAAACCCACAGCTGGCTTACCTCTGGCTCACATGGGGCTGCCTGAAGGGCATCTGAAAACATGAAAACACCAGCTTCTTCTCTGCTGCTTACGGAAACATGCCACCTAGTGACCGTAGATAGTAATGCAGGCTACAGGCTGATTTTAAAGTAACCCAAATACAGGTCACAATAACCACAATAAAGGCTCCTTCCTTTCTCTCTCATTCTTACAACCCGACGGTTTGCCATTACCTAAACCCAGCGTATGCTCAGCGGCTCAGAATGACAGAACATTCGGCCGAAACTCTTCACGTCATCTCGCTCGCGGCTCCTGCCAACTTTGTGAAGTTTACTTTCTCATAAAATCGTCAAGGGACAAAGAGTCAACTTGCACCTTTTTTCCCCCCATCTGTGAGGCAAAACCTGCTACCGGAAGACGCTTACCAGCAACACCCTAGAAAAATAAATTTTCACTTCACTGCCTCAGAGGAAAACGCTTGAGAAGAATGGCACCAGAGAGATTTCTGCGGCCCCGGAAGGGGAGAACGAGAAAAGCGAAGAGGTTTTGTTAAGTGCCTCTGGACGTTTTGCCTAGCAGCGCCTTACAGGCAGTAAAGAGATTTTCTTTTCACGAAGGCAGGATGTCTGAAGGAGGCGCCGTTGAGGGGTGTGAATTCTCAAAGCCCGTGTTCTCAATTCCACTCAATCCAGCAAGACTAGCCTAGCGTAAGAGATCAGCAATCCTTCTGTTACTAAATATTCAGTGCCTACCTTCCCAATGGGATACCTAGGGTGGGGTGTAGTGGATAGACAGACGGGGGGACTCAGGAGGTTTGGTTTCAAATCCCAGCTGAGGAAACTCACTGGGGGGTATAGAATAGGCAAAACCACCCCTTCCCCAATGGGATACCTAATGTGGGGTGTAGTGGATAGACAGACTGGGACTCAGGAGGCCTGGGTTCAAATCCCCACTCAGCCGGGGAAACTCACTGGGGGTATAGAATAGGCAAAACCACCCCTTAAGGTCCTCCCTTGCCTTTAAAGCCCTATTAGGATCGCTATAAACGGGTTCCGACTCGATGGCACAGAATGGTAGCCTTTCCAGTGCTTGGATGGATGGATAGCTCCATGAGTTAGCTTCCTGGCTGCAGAGCCAGAGGTTGGGAGTTCGATTCCCCCTCTGTGCCTTCTGGAAGAAGAGCCAGCCTGGGTGGCCTTGGGCAAGATGCACCGGCCCAGGGCGCCCCCTAGAGGAAGGGAATAGTAAACCACTTCTTGAGTCCTCTCTCCCTGGGAAAACGATGAGAAGGGTCACCATAAGTAAGAATTGATGGAGCACTGCTTATTCTTCTTTTCAGTAAGCTTGCAATTATGTGGTTTGGTTTGGTTTTTTTAAAATGTTAACTTTAGAACCTACTGTATTTTTAAATTATAGTTCTTTTTCAATCATTTTGTCAGCCACCTCGGGGAAAGCGCACACACCCCAGGAGCTCAACGCAATCTACACGGCTCCCCTCCCTTCGGGACAGCCCCTGCAATGGCAACAACCAGGCCAGGTTCAGACAAAGCAACCAGCTCAAGAGCACCCAGTTGACCCTTCATGGCCAAACGGGGATTTGAACCCGGGTCTTCTTAGTCAGAATCCAGTTCCCTGTAGACCCATAGCAACGGCTGGAAATCAGGACAGAACAACACATTGGAAGAAACATGGATCGTTGAGCAAAAACACCAGCTCCTTGCAAACAGTCTCATCCAGTGCACACAATCCGACACTGAGAGCACACCACAGTGTCCTTACAAGTGCCCAACCCCTGTGGTCCTTTGAGGTCAGCGTCCTGGACCCTCACTTCCGGCAGCAACCTTTCAGGCAGCACCCTTCCACACAGAGATCCAGCTGGAGATGCCAGGAGCTGAAAGTGACATTTTAACATTTATAACTTTATTTTTTTCTTTATTTACATGCATGCATGCACAGCATGCACTTTACCACTGAGCCCCCCCCCTCTCTCTCTTTTGCAGGGGCAAGCACCTGGAAGCCATAAGCAAATGCAACATCCGGGGCTACAGAGGTTGGAAACTGTTGTTAAAGGAATCCTCTTGTTGTTCCGTACAATGCAAGCCAACAGGTCTGCTCCCACCTCATGGACAAGGAAAAGCTGTTTCTATCCCTTTTATAAAACTCTGTCCTTACAACAAAATGCTTGGCCTTGAACTTGAAACTCAATATCTGAAGAACCTGAAATGCCATATCGGCTACAAGAGAGAAAGTCACCGATCCAGGGAACCAATGAAAAGGAGGGGAAAAACGGGACCACTGGGTGGATGCACACCATCTTTGTTTTCTTTCCATGTCCTTGAAAAAAAGAACAAGGAAGACAGATAAACGGAAGGTGTGAGCCATAATCCGCGAGACGGCTCCGAAGATAGCAGAATGTAACGCCGACAGATCGGTGACGGCAGCTCCTCTGATCGCCTAAGCCCAGCTTTTGATGGATCAGGGGGGGAACAACAAAGAGAGAACACCAAACAAAGAAGCAAAATCTGGCCTCTCAGGCAAAGGAAAGGCTACCGGGGAGGAGAGGATGCAGGAAGCGAATATCAAAAGCCAGAGAAGAACAGGTTGAGGATTAAGGGTCCGCCTTAGCATCACCGCCAGGCTGGACGGGGGAGAGCTTATTCCTCTTCTTCCCCAGTTATCCCACTTCTCTGACCCTCTTTTTAGAAGGCTGGTTGATTAAGAACCAGATTAGACTAGAGATGCGCTGGGGGGTGGGTGGGATTCAGGGGTTGATTTGTAAAAACGAAGATCTCCTAAGGAGTAAATGGAGTTACAAAGCAGAGATGGCCATTCCATCTCTTCTCCCATCCTCTGGGGGGGCGAGGAAGGATGACCAAGCTGCACCCTCCCACCCACACCCATACCCACACCCACAAAATGAGTATCAGAGCAAATCATTCAAGGGCCACATGTATGCCAGAGAAAGGACTGTCTGATGAAATACAGAGAGAGAGAGAGAGCCATGTCTCACTGGCTTGTCTAAAAATCTATGTCTCTGAGGATTCCAGCAAACAACGATGAAAGCAGAGGAAAATGGAAGCAAGGCTAAATGCACCTCCAGTTAAATACTCTCTTATGCTCTGTCTTCCCTTAAGCCCTCACCTGCCAGAAAACCAGGAAAGGAAAACTTGATGAACTATTGTTCTCTTTTGCCTGATACAAGCGAACCCACGTCAGGTATCTTTGGTGATACTCAGAGCTGTCCCCACTGGGACATCTGAAAAGGCCACAAATTCTTGTCCACACACCGTTTGTTTAAAAATGATAAATCTCCTGAGAGCGACATGATTTTAAAAAGAAAAACCGGCGAAAAGCAAGGTCTATTTGCTTCTTTAACCCAGAAAGGCACTTCCTCTAGTACGGGTACAATGCTCAAAGGTGAGAAATGAAATTTATGTTCCACTCCTCATCATCTTGTCTAATAGCAAACTCGGGTGTAAAGCAGAGAATCTTACTGGTGTTCGCTTAAGGATTGTGCAACTTGTGGTGGCTAATTGGGGCTAACCGACAAGGTGTCGAGGTTCATTTCAGTTCTGCAACTGGACATGTGACCAAGCATGCAGCCGAGAGGCACCCTGGCAACTCATGAGTTAGTCACAATTAGCAACAACCGATTATGCAAGCTTTATGTGATACCAGTCACTGAGCTCCATGAAATTTATGCCCAGCACGGATTCACTTTCAGACCTGCAACCTAAGCAATTCAAGGTCAACCATGATCACACCTCTTAAGAGCCTCAAGCCAACAATCATCCTTCTGTCCTATCTTTCATTTTCTATGTTTTTAGTAAGCGTTGTTGCTTTCCATCAGCACCTTAACCATTAATCCCCTAAACTCATCAGATTCTTTTAACACAAATTTGCCATAGGCCAAAAAGATGTCTCTAATTAATTGGCAAGACATCTGAACATCCTTCAAGTTGAATTTAAGCACCTACGGCTGGGCCACCTTCCAGGAGACACTTATTTATTCTCATGGGAAGGAAACGCCTCTCCATGAGTATGAATCGGTAAATAAACTATGCTTCCTTTAAAAAAGCCTTTTTCACTCACACACAAATGTTTGGGCTGAGTCATCATCAATAACTCCCCAAAGGCTAATCACTGCAGTTTTATGCAACCGGGTTCCCTTTTAGTCTGTGCATACGTAGATGCACGTGGTCTGGGCAGAGTGCAACTCTTAAGTCATCATGGATCCAGGATATTTCTGTGCCATTCCACACGGGCCATATGGACAACGCTAGGGTAGAGGCATCTTAATTATCAACAGGAGGAAAAATGCCATCGCAAACAGAATTCCAAGCACACGAACCCATCAAGGGATACTGGTTCCAGCTGTAGCCGAGAACTAATAGAACACTCCAGGACATTTTATGAACCTCATAAATACTCATGTACGTAAAAGGCATAACCGTAATACTCTCAACCATAAAAGCTGCTTTATTGGATGCTATCAAGCAATAATAATGGCTATTAGGTATAGTTTCTGTATATTACATAAAAGTCCAGAATGAGAATTATACTGCTCTAAAACCATACCTAAAAGCAATTGTCATTTAATAATACAAAAGAAACCGATGAAATTCTTTATGTATAATAAAGCAATACATCCAACACAACCTCAACACAAGCCTATGTAAGTGCCATTAAATCAGTGTCACTTGGCCTTATCTGTTGTTTTTCCTGTTAATAAAAAAAAAAATGCTCTTCCGTGGTTTTGCCATAAATGTCATGAAGGGACTTACCTTTCGAGCTCATATTCCTTCATGCCAGGTTTTACAGCCTTCATCACCTGTGGTCACAAACATGAGACACATCTTAAGAAGTTTGAGTAAGATTTTTGAGTTAAGTCAGCTCTTTAGAAGGGCTCTAAGGACTGGAATATGTCATGTGTTTGACAGGGGTGACTAATGGCTCTGATTTTGTAGTCATGGTGAACCTGTCCCAGATTTTAGTCCGAACCTTGCAAAAGATATTCCAAGAGGCTGAAGACTATCTCTCCAAGAGGCTCAGCATCTCAGGATGTATGTTATGTCTATACTGTTTGTTTGCCTTCAAGCTGCTTCTGTTTCATGGCAACCCTAGTAAGGTTTCCTATACATGTTCAAGAGTTGATCCATTTATTTATACCCAGTAAGCTTCCATAGCTGAGCCACTCGTGATTCAGAGGTAGGTCTCCAAAATTCTGATCCAAAACTCTATCCACTCTGCGCTGACTCTCCAGCACCTTGGATAGCTCTGTTAAAGTTCAGACTAAAACCTTGGGCAGCTCCATCGCCCTACAAAATCAGAATCACCAGCCCCACTATCTGAGCATGCACGGTAAAGGTAGTCTACCAGAGCAGGAAAAACTGTGGTGCAAATGCTCTTAGGTACAGCAGTTCCCCCCCCTAACTTAGTTTTTAGCCATGCTTTTCTGAAATTCCAGAATAAATGTTCTACCTGTTCACCCCGAGAAGACACACCAAATGAATGGAATTTACACAAAGGTTGCTGTACCATATTCCCATTGATTCAGTGGGTCAATTCCAGCTGAGACTTACAACCAAATCCTATTTCAAACAATTACATTACATAAACAATTATGTAACTCGACCATTTCTATAGTTCTCTAATTCCCTTTAAGGTGTTTTCTCTCTTATTTTTCCTAGCAGAGGGGCCATTTTCTCAATAATGCTTATGGGTTGAGTTTCAAACTTAAAACACTGTGCGGATTTAAAGCCTGCGGGCTGGCTCGGGCATCGGCTGTTGTTCTGCGCCATCACATGGCCTTCAGTTTATGCTGACCCCTCTGGGTAAGGGCATCTCTTAACAATCCCACTCGACTCTTGGGAACCCAAGGCAGTGGTTCCTTTAGGGAGTCAATCGATCTCACAGCTAGTCTCTCTGCTTTCCTCCAGCCTTATTTCCTATTTCCAAATCCAGCCTGCAGAGAATGAAGGCTACCTGCCCTGCACCTTCATGCGTCACGCATGGCAGGCCTTTCGCATATGCCTGTCAGGGAAGACTGCTGCGTCTTCTCCGGGTTTCGGTCCAAACTGTAAAGAGCGATCCAAAGTGCAGCAGCTCTTTTTGACACCAGGTTTCAGCACCTTGGAAAGCTCCCAAGAGTTTCACCATGGATTCACTGCCCCCAGAACATCAAAGTGGCTGGTTTCCCTGTGGGCCAATACATCGCCCAGGCAATGGCTCTATAGGGGAAACCTTCCTCATCCTCTCATCCAGAACAGAAGGCTCCCTTGGACTGCGACCCACCAGCTGGTCCAAGTGGATGAGGAAATGAAGTCTATTGCACTTCGCAATGGCAGTCTTCCCATTTTACTTCTGCTATTCTTATTAAGAGGAGGGATTTGCTGCTCTTGAGACTTCTGATCAAAAGGAATCTTCCACCTCATGAAACACTCGTCCTCCCTTATTGCAGTGAGAGGGGAAATAAGCTTTATGGCTCCCAGTGAAGGGCAACATTCATCAGCTATGGAAAACTTCGATTACTGAGCCTCGTGGAGCAGTGATTAAACTGCAGCTCTGCGGCCCGAACCCTGGTTACCACCCGGGGTTCATTCCCAGGTAGCGGATTCAAAGTTTACTCGGCCTTCCATCCTTCCAAGGTGGGTAAATTGAGTTCCCAGTCTGCTGGGGAGGGCGGTGAGAAAGTGTAGCCTGCATAATTAAACTTCAAAACCCCCAGAGAGTGCTTTAAGCGCTATGGGGCGGTACATCAGCAGCATGTTTTGCTTTTTAAAAAAAACACCACCACCTCATCTCAGTTGCAGCAGGGGAACTTTGCAAAGCAGAGAGACTTCTGCACCAGGACAGGGAACCCAGCTATAACCCTACATAAATATTTCAGGAGAAGAGGCTAAGGCCATGATTACAGCTTCAGAAAAGCGCCAAGCTAAATCCAGGTCTTAGGCCCAGGTTATGGGGGTGCCTATCCCATGGGGCATGAATGTACACACACCTCTTTTTTTTTTTCTTACTCAGATGTACGTGCAGAGGCCTGATCCAGGCCAGAACCTCACCTGCACTCCCTTTGGCATAAGAGACAAACAGTAAAGGATGGACATGATTCGCTACATTGAGTTTGGTCTTTAGGGAAAACATAGAAACTGTGCCCAAATTGTCCAGAAATCACCTAGACGGAAACTAAGAGATGATTCCTGGCCTCCACGGGCCAATTCCTGGTCCTCCTTTCATTTAGGATGATTCCCCTGCATCTCAGTAGGTAGAAAGGGGCAGGGCTCGCTATGCCCGAAAAGCACAAGGTGTGTGCTCCGTTGTTTAACGGCACGGCTGAGCTATTTCTCTCTGCGGAGACCCTGGAGGTCCAAACCTCTCTCCACAGCCTTCCCCTGCCAAAAGAACAGTGATAAACCATCCCACCTGATGGCTTGAGCTTAGCATTTCCAACACCCTTCTTCCCAACAAGTCTGGGGGAAAGACAGCATGTGTCAAGGTAGATCCGAACAAATTTTCAGGCGACGGAGTGATCTGCAAACCAGTTTTGTGAGCAGCTCTGGGGGTGTGTGGGCAGCTGCTCGGAGGGGGCTACACACATTGCTTCCTCCCCCCAACGGACAGAACCATTCAGGGACAACTGGCATGTGTGAACCTATCTGTCCGTGATGGTCAGCCACAAGGAAGCACCAACAGCTATGAGGTGCACAAGAAGGGTGGGTGTCTCTTCTAAAAGACCCAACCGAGTTGAAAAACCAAGGAGGAGGACAGAGAGAGAGATCTGCTCTAGGTAAGCACTGGCCCAAAATGGAGGTCTCCAGCTTTGCATCAAGGCTATTGTGTCTCCCACACGTCAATAGTAAGATTCCAGAAGAAGATTGTCCTCCTAATTCTATCCCGGGCTCTTCCATTACTTTATTACCAAGCAATTCAGGTGGCTGAGAACAATTTCTGAAAAACTACAGTTACACAAAGAGCGAAGAAAAAAAATTATTATTATCTGTAAGAGATCCATTACCTCTTTATGAGCTTCGCTGGAAATTTTATTGGTGTAGCGAAGAACTTCCAGCTCCATGTCCGTCTTAATCACACGGCTTCGAAAGGTAAGGAGAAGAGGAAAATCAGGTGAGTAATTCCCGCTGCCGTCCAGCAGTGATTAAGTTAAGAGCACAAGGGAAATCCAGGTAACCTGATTGGCAAGTCTATAGCAGAGCAGATGTGTTCTAAAAGCAGGGAGCGATTATGAGAGGGCAGCAAATAAAGGACATTATGGAAATGAAATGTTTGTATGGCATTCATTTAGCCAGGTTGGAACCACGTGCAATGCGGGCCTCATCCAGGTTTCATCCTCTGAACCGATGCATGAACCTACAAAGTGCAGGACTGTTGGCAGGAGTGCGCAGACAAGTAGAGGACCCACACTCGGGACAGGGGAACTTTGGCCTTCCAAATCTTTTGGACTATGGTAGGGCCCCCTCCCCAATATCCACAGGAAATTGGTTCCAAGCCCGGCCCCCCACAGATGCTGGAAAACACAGATTATAACAAACACTATTGCAGCAGTGAACGCAATACATAGCATGATCTCTGGTTCCCTGTACAGTTCTGGTAACTTCATCTTAGAAAAACATGTATTTTAGCAATTTTTCTTTTAATATTTTTAATGTTTATTCAGATCGTGGATAAGTAAATCAGCAGATAGTGATCCTGTGGCTAAGGGGATCCTACCGTATTAACTCCCATAATCCCTCCCCAGCAGCCATGATGGGTATGACTTCTGGGGACTCCAGTCCAAAGCTTCTAGACTAAACCATCCATAGGTCCATGGGCTCTCCCCCCACCTCCCCACACCTCTGGGTCAAAGCCTCATTGGGCAGTACTGGAACTCAAGCGACAGGAGTGGAGGCAGCTCTTTGGGGAGGTGGCTGACCAGCGGCGAGGGCTTCCACACCTTTGGCTCCACAAGCAGGACTCTCCAGCTCAATACCTGATCCGTAGGGCTCGGCATCCGAGCTAAGAGAACGCCCCAGAAGGCCAGAACACGCTCAGCCCTGAGTGCAGCTGTTGCACAAACTGCCAAACTCAAGCGGCTCTGCTCAGATTCAGCAAATGCCCTTCGATGCAACACAGCCGGAGCGCATCCACAGGGCCGTGAAGCAGAAGGACGGTGCTTTGAGTGCAGAGAGGTCAGAGGAGCACTCTGCAAATGTAACACAAATCAGAAAGCGATCCCAATTCCAGTTACTGCCACACGGGTTCAAGGCAGGCAGGCTGTGACATCCGAATGTCAGCATGACCCTGCAATAAAACCCAGGCCAAATGTGGAGGGGAAGCCGCGGCATGCAGTCCTGTCCTGTCCCGTGCACTATTAACATGTGGCCATGAGCTTCCAATGGCAGGATCAGCATAGGTGGTGGATGTTGACAACATTGATTACTTTAACATCTTGGGGATGGGTGGATATGAATTGCTTTAGTTTTTAGGACCCAGGCTTTCTCTGTCTTGACAATCTGGGACATTCTAGCCCCCCCCCCCACCCTTTCCCATTCCTATGCTAACCAAACAATTGCAAAACCCTCTGTTTCATGGACCAAGCAGGACTACACAACTTGTGCGTGTTTTATTCCGTTTCACTGTGTGCTTGCCAGGAATACTTTAATTTATTTATTTTTTAAAGGTAGCAGAGGCTTTTTAACGCAGCCGCTTTCAGTTTTTTCTCAAGTTACAGTCCAACAGAAAGAGAATGAATTCTTGCCTGAAGCTATGAAATCCTCGGGGTCGTTGCAGCCAGCTTTGCGAAGGTAGCAGGCGGAGAAGGGAAGGGGTGTGTGAAATCTCCCAATGCATTGTTTGGGCTTACAGCGGTATTAAATTTATGAGCCCTTAGTTGAGAAGTTTGGCAAAAATCAAAAGCACACACAGCCTTCAAGGAGAGCTGGGGTAGCGTAACTGCTGGGAGACGGCGCTGCGGATCAAGGAGGCCCCGGGCCTGGATTGCGCTTCTGCTGGGAGCTAACCAGGTGGCCCTCTTGCTCCGTCTTTCGGCAGGGGAGGGGTCACGAGACAAAACTGCCCGCAGCCACGTGGCCACGGGAGAGGAAGGTGAGCGCATGGAGGGCTCAGTGGTCGAGGTCTCCGGCTGCGGAGGCAGAGGTTGGGAGTTTGATTCCCCCATGATATGCCTCTTTGACAAGGGGTGGACACAATGATCCAGAGGGTCCCTTCCAGCTCGGTAGTTCCAAGAGGACGGTGGAGTCCTGTTCTAACTCATGGCAAACCTCCGAGGGTCTTCTGGGGATCACGTACTCAGAGGTGTTTCTCCAACGCCCCCTTTTTTGGGCCCTCTGGGTCCATCCTGCTCCTCGCGCCCAAGGCCATGCTGGTGGCAGGCCACACAACGTCCTCCGTGACACACGCATGGGACAGTCTCTGCCGTCCCTCCTAGTGGGAGGCAAAGCAGGGATCCGGACCCTCGGCCCTGGTTCCCTAGCCGGGGGTTCCTCCCCAGTCAGCTACACCCATTCTCTAAATCTCATCCGGGATGGGCAGAGCCTCTTCGTCTCTGTGCGTCTCTCTCTCTCTCTCTCTCTCTCTCTCTTTCTTTCGAAGCGCATCCCCTCCGGCTCACACCCTGCCAAGGACATTCACAGTGCAAGCCACTTTAACATTCCCCCAGATTCAGGAGCCTCCACAGTCCTTATTCTTCTGCCTCACATTTCACTTCCGCAGGACGCAGATAAGCAGCGCCACGATAGAGAATCATGGCTCTGCTTGGCTGCCTCCCTCCCTGCCCGCCTGCTTTTCAGATGAATGCTGAGATTTCAGCAGGGACCCCATTTATCCTGGTGCCGTCTTCCTAGCCGTGATTATATTTCTACTTGGACAAAGTGATTTATGTAGAAAAAGAGTCGTTACCGCAATTCACTCCCAGGCACACTACCCACAGCCAGGGTGCGAACGGAGGGGGAGACAAGACCCTGACAAAGGCAGGGAAGAAGTTACAAGTCGGCGGTGCTTTCTGACAGATCCAGAGACAAAGCAATGGAAAGCCACAGGCTGCATATATCAGACGGGGAGCCTCACAAAGCTGCCCTTTGCAACTCGGAGATAACGATTCAGAATCCGAAAGAGGGCATATCCCACTGGCTGAAAACAGAAGGACGCTGAATAGGGCTGTTGCAAACTTGCATACAATTTCTCCTCCTCAGTGAAAAATAAGACATGACACTGGGGGAGAAATTGTATTTTTTTTTGCTCCTGCAAAAGAGAGCATTCTTTGTCACAAATAACATTAGCAGAAAGAAAGAAAGAAAGAAAGAAAGAAAGAAAGAAAGAAAGAAAGAAAGAAAGAAAGAAAGAAAGAAAGAAAGAAAGAAAGAAAGAAAGAAAGAAAGAGAGAGAGAAAGAGAGAAAGGAAGGAAGGAAGGAAGGAAGGAAGGAAGGAAGGAAGAATTTTTGTACCAAAGTTTTGGGTTTTGCAGTCGAAAAAACTGTTGTAGTTTGTACACAATTAGACGAAATAGAAAGGTTTCTGTGCAAACAAAATTCTACTGGAATGTAAACATGTGTAAAACTGGTCATAATGCAGCTGGGTGGGAGAGAGCTTTTCAAATTTTCCATCCTTGCCTGCAAACAAGAAACCAACAAGAAATAACGTAATTTTGAACAAGCCTGCAGTCACCTTCCTGGTCCTCAGTCAAAAGAACTGGTCCTTCTTTATAGAGATGAATGCAACAGCCGATGGCGGCAGCAGCAGCAGCGGCAGCAGCGGCAGCAACAACAACAACAACAACAACAACAACAACAACAACAACAACAACAACAACAACAACAACAACAACACAGAAATGATCAAAGCTCTTCTCCAGGTTGGTAATCGTTGGAGGACTTCCTCTCTGAAGGAAGAACTTGGGGGATTTTCCTGTGTGAAGCCAATATCTCAGGACTATTTCCCCTCATTCTTGTAAGAGAGCTTAAATTGTTGTTGTTTCTTAAATCCATTTCATCATCATAATCATAGAACTGCAAAGTCTGAAGGAACCCTATGGATCCTCAAGTCCAGCCCCTGTCAAGGAGGCACATATGTGGGGGAAATCAAACTCCCAACTTCTGGCTCCATAGCCTGATATCTAAACCACTGAGCTATTGAGCCAGATTAATAGTCATGTGCCATAGAGTCAATTCTGATTTATGTCAATCCTTTTCAGTTTTTTTTCCAGCAGAGACTACTCAGAGGTGATTTCCCATCCCCTTCTTTATTGGGGAGCCCTGGGACTGTGTGTGCAGCTGGCCCAAGGCCACCCAGGCTGGCTCTTCTCTCAGAAAGCACGGCAGTGGGGGAATCAAACTCCCAGCCTCTGGTTCCATAGCCAGGTACCTAAACCACTGCGCTATCCAGCAGTTCTAAAATTTAAACTTCCTTCCTTCACCAGATGGCCAGGAAGACTGCCAAAGCCGAGCCTTTGCTTCCCCTAAGGGCCAAAACAAAAAATCCATTCTCATTTTGAGGAGAACGCTCTCCAAACGTGTCAGCCCTCCGTAGCAACAAATGGCCTCCGCTGAATTCCGTGGGGTGGGTGGAGGGTGAGAAATGCAGGCATCAATCCGGAGGCTGTGGCAACCCAGACACATGGCAACAAATCCTTCCTCCAGTTCTACACAAGATGAGGGATGCACCAACAACTCACTGCTATGGAGAGAACGCCAAATCTTTTGGAAAGACCACCTCTCTGCTGCCCCTGGAACATATTTTAAGCTGTTGCGGTCAGCTTTTCGTTCAGCGCACAACATCCAGGTTCTATTGCCCGCCATCAGGTCTTGTTCATTGTCAAAGAACCTCAAGGGGGAGGCAACCACAGCTTGAACAGCTCTTCCAAATGAGGCAACATGGAAGGAGCAGCCACCGCCCATCTCTGACAGCTGGCACCGGGTCTTCATTACAGTTATGTCACAAAGCACAATTCATGGTATTGTTTTACAGCAGGAGGAACTGTCCATTGCCTGAGACTCTCTTCGCCAAAGGGGGTGCCTTCCAGTCGGACTATATTTGCAACCTGTGTAACTATCAGGGCCATGTAGGCGTGGGGTGATGGGAAATGTAGTATTTATTTATTTATTTATTTATTTATTGGATTTATATACCGCCCCATAGCGCTACAAGCACTCTCCGGGCGGTTTACAATTTTAATTATAAAGGCTACACATTGCCCCCCCAGCAAGCTGGGTACTCATTTTAGAAATGTAGTAGAGTGCATCCGAAGAACCACCGCCTCACGTATCGCAGAAGGGATCCCAAGGGCCATCGTTCAGTCGGACTCCTCAGCAACATCAGAATCCACAGGTAAAGCTCTTCTCAGATAGCTCCAGGAAAGGAGAGTCCAAGACCTCCTGTGCATCCGAAGAACCACCGTCTCATGTATCGCAGAAGGGATCCCAAGGGCCACTGTTCAGTCGGACTCCTCAGCAACATCAGAATCCACAGGTAAAGCTCTTCTCAGATAGCTCCAGGAAAGGAGAGTCCAAGACCTCCTAAGGCGGGCAATCTCTTAGGTGTGAAACAGCTTTGGCTATCCGTGCTGAACAGAGGGGGACCAATAACTTAATCTATGCAAGCAAGAGCATAAGAAATGCAAAACGTGCTCTCCTCTCTCCCCTCCATCTTCTTTTCTCAAGGTTAAACATGTCCATTGCTCTTAAGTCTTTCCCCCTACGGCTTGTTTTCCAGCCCCCTTGATCATCCAGGTGAAATGCGCCCAGCTGCCTCCACTCTTCCTTGCAGCCCCCTTGACCACATTGGCTGCCACCTTGCGGCCATGCTCCAGCTCTTCAATCTCCTCCTCCAGCAGTAGAGCCCAGAACCGTAAATCGGACTCCAGGCAAGCAGAAAACAGGGACACAATCCTTCTGTAGATGCAGCCTCGTACTGCCGTGCCAGCTTTCAATCCATCTTAGATCTGTGCAGCGCCATGTTTCCTGCCAAGAAGAACTCCTAGAAGAACTCCACACTTATCCACTTATCTGCTTTTTTTGGCCCAGTTTCACCGACCTGGGATGTTCACCTTGAATCCTGATTCCATCCTGAGGGAAGGGGGCGATGGCGTACCTAAAGGCAGCCATCCTTTCATCAACCTCTATTAAATGAGATATTTTCCGGAGACACCCTGTGCCTTATGGTCCCATCCAGTTCTTTCTCCAGCCTTCCCCAAATGGGCTCATGGCACCTCCATTTTCGACGAGAGGGGCTTTTGTCTGCCAGCAATGGAAAGTGGCTGAAATATCCCAGGCACACACTGAAAGGAGGCTTAAAACGATTACGAAATATCACCACCGCGCACCACTCTTTAGAACTTGTGTTCTTCTAGGTATGCTTCAGCTAATGTCAGGCTCCGCTGACATTCAAGTGTAATTAAAGAGAACATCCATAAATTTGCCAACGGAATGCATTAGAATTAATGCTCTTAAAATGAATCCCAAAAGGCAGCAATAATAGCCTGACATTTATATAACATTACCCGTCCTGCCAGACATTCAATTAATACTTCTATGGGCAGCCATTGCAGCGGTGTTAATTATAATGAATGTATTTGTATTTGTATCTATACAATGACAAACACTAATGCGTTTTACAGCAAATTAGCAAGAAGTATTTCAGAGGCATTTTATTGTGCTTCCCTGTGATCGCATATAATTGGCTATGGACGGGCTGTCTAGGGGAAGAATGTGTGCTGCTTCTGGGCAGAGTGCCTGTTTTGCATTCATTAAGTCTTGGGTTCAAATCCTGATTCACCCGGTTTACAGATTTCAGGGAAGAAGCCCATGCCGGAGAAAGCTTGCTTGGCTATGGAGACGAAGTGGAGGCTAGGCTACCAACCGGACCACTGGCCTGCATGGACCTAGAAGAAGGCAAGGTCTTCTTGGTCAGAGACCTTTAACCCTGGAAGCCACCCCAAAGCATGGGGGCAAGTTCCAGATTATGAACAAGGACACTGGAAGGAAACACACACACACACACACACCCGGCATGGGACCTCAGAACACATTTTCAAAGCTTTCTGGAAGAAGGATTGAAAGGGAGACAACACCTGTTGTGTTAAACAGCTGGAAGGCTCGGCCGTCCAGTCCTCAGCAATGGTGGGCCAGCCACAGAAATGCCGCAAGAGTCGCAGAATCCGTCTGGAACAGAATCCCACCCAAGCGTCTCTCCCCACCTCCCATCCCTATGAAAGTGACGGCCAGGTTTATGGAGGCCTGTCCAGGTTTAGCATCGGAGATCCTCATAAGCTCACGCTCCCCGGGGATGTTGCACTTCCTTCAGAAACAAATGAAGACTCCTGTGGTCCCTGAAAGGCTGCCTCTTTTATCTGGCACAGGTTTCAGGCACCCGAGGCAGAAAAGAGGATGGCCATGAGACAAAATCCAGAGAATTCCTGGGAGGAGCAGGATGAAAACTGGACTGTGCCCCACACAACACCGCCTTCTGCACCAGCGGGATGAGGAGGGCGAGTTGCTGATCCTTTTCATTTGCCAAAGCAGGATTCCCCCATCAACAGGATCAATATCTGCTGATTCACTTATTCCGTGTGGAGGGAGATCGTTACAGGGGTGGGGTGGGGCGCCAAACATACATGTTTCACTTTACTTAGCCAGTGAGATCTAATCACCTCACAATATATAATGCAGGATTCCCCCATCAACACGATCAATATCCGCTGATTCACTTATTCGCTGCCTGAAAAGATTAAATAAAAAACTCCAGGGAGAAAAAGTATGTATATGCATTTTCCCGACATATTTATCAAAACTGGTCACTAGAGGGCGCAAGAGACGATGCAATGTATAGCGTTCACAACTTCTGTGTTTTTTGGCATCTGCAAGGGGGCTTGGAACCGATCCCCCGCGGATACCATGGCCCTACGGTAATCTATTAGGCTGGAAATGGTTCGACTTGTCCTCTTCCAAACCACAGATGTTTATTGTTAACAGTGGATGATAGTGAGGATCATGGAAAAGATTATATCTCGGAAGGTGCAGAGTTCATATTTTATCAAGGACAGAACCTTTAGGCATTAAAAATCTTTAGCAGGCAGGAGGTGAAAAGGCTGGAGGGAGCCTCTGAACACAGAAGCTAATACTGATGCCAGTAAAATAAAAATAGAAAAATTGGAAGCACTGTGTGAAGAACAAAGCCAGTAGTTGAAGATCCCCAGCAATTTGGATGCATTTTTATTTAAAAAATTATTATGGAATTGTAGAAAATGGCAAAGTCCCACCTAACGTATACTTATTCCATAGCATGGTCAAGACAAGGGGGTTGGGGGGGGGAGACTCTATCCAAACGGAGGTCTGGGTTTAGGCAGATGACAGCAATTTGGATGCATTTTTATTAAAAAAATTATTATGGAATTGTAGAAAATGCCAAAGTCCCACCTAATGTATACTTATTCCATAGCATGGTCAACACAAGGGGGGAGACTCTATGCAAACGGAGGTCTGGGTTTAGGCAGATGAAGGGTGGAGCTAGTGCAGCAGAGAGAGAGAGAGAGAGAGAGAGAGAGAGAGAGTCCACCCACAGGGATCCCGTGGCCATTAGCCAGCCAGCCCTACTGCCAGTTGACAAACAAAGATGTTGAGGGGCTCTGCCCCCCCCCAAACTAAAGGGGAGTGGCATCAACAAGCAGGAACATGGCTTGGAATATAAGGGCGAAGAGTCAACATACCATTCGGCAATCTCTGGGTGCAGAATCGTGTTGTTTACTGTGAACCTATACAAAGAGAAAGAAGAAAACACAACTTCCATTCAGTTCTATGACCTTCGCAAGCTGCCTTCAGCACCACTCTGGAAAGAAAAGTTGGGGCAGAAACATAACTAATCATGGTCATTATAAATCACATTTCAACATCCAGGCGAATTGACAGCAAAGAAGTGAGATAAATATGGGATGAGAAAGGAAAGATGTTCATGAAAGAGTATTCAATAAATACTGAACCTTGGGCTGTATGGAATGGTGGTGGCATAGAGAAGTCATAGGATTTCTGGATCTCTGGCTCCTTGTTTACGTGGGGCCTTTGAAGCAGCAGCAGCAGCACCCTGTGCTCCAGGGGCTGGACCCGCAGAAAGACTAAAAACCTGGTGCTCTGACCCCAACACCCCCACAAACTCCCCTCTGCCCCCCACATCCCCAGCCCCACTTCCCTTGGCTGTCTTGAACTGTGGTGGTGGCCAGTGTCAGTGGAAATGGCATTTCTGTTCCCTTTCAAGACTTGCGGGCAAAACCTCTCTCAAAACCTTGATTAAGCCAGCAATCGTGAAGGGTGGCGATTCTGAGTTGCTCCAGGTTTTGAAGGAGCTCTCCAAGGTGCTGAACGTCAAAGGACCCATCCCAGACGCCAGCAGCTACTTGGGGAGAAGGTTTAATGCCTTGAATGATTTTCAAACAGCCCAGACTAAAGCCTAGAGAGGATTTAGTGCCCCTACGGAAATGGGGAGCCGCCATCCTCTGCGTGATAACTAGGTTTCCTTTAACCCTTAACCATTAAGGGAAGGGTGGGATTTGCATGCAAAAGGGGAAGGAATAGGTTGTGAACCACACAGCATGACCACTGGGGTCAGTTGGGCAGTATAAAAATCAAATGGATGGATAGATAGATGGAGTGGGTGGATGGATGGATGGAGTGGATGGAGTGGATGGATGGATGGATGGATGGATTCAGTTGGGGAGTATAAAAATCAAATGGATGGATAGATGGGTGGAGTGGGTGGGTAGGTAGGTAGGTAGGTAGAACGGGATCACTGCAGGATGATGTGATTAGATGGATTCACCAGAAGAGAAAGTCAGTTCAAAAGCAGAAATGGAACTGAGTATAAAAATCAAATGGATGGATAGATGGGTGGAGTGGGTGGGTAGGTAGGTGGGTGGGTAGAACAGGATCACTGCAGGCTGATGTGATTAGATGGATTCACCAGAAGATAAAGTCAGTTCAAAAGCAGAAATGGAACTGTGTTCCTAGATTAACATAGAAATCAAGACAGAGGGAGGTGTCAACATTGCCCACGGAGTGGGCAGTCATTGTTTTGCTCCCAAGGATTGTGGCAACCCAGATTTCAATGGTCAGATGGTTTCCAAAACCCAAAGCTTTCTTCCCCAATAAGGACCAGAGAAGCCCTTTCCAGTTCCTAAGGCAACCCTGCATTCTCGTATGACGCCCCTTCCAAAAGCCTGAAGCAATATTTCTAATTCTCAGGAACAAGCATCCAATATCTTGATGCGAGTCAGATTTCTCCAGCTCCTCCCTCAATGCCCTCTGCATTCCGTTTAAGCCTGCGTTCATCTCAGCACCTCACACAAGTCAGCGACGCAATTCAGACCCTCTGTGATATTCGGCCAGGGGGAACAAGGAGCTTGGCTAATGAGATCCAGCTGCTTTGAACATAAACAAAGCATTTTTTTTCCCAATAGGGAGGTTTTGAGACCATTATATTCGGGCAAAAAGGGGATGCAGTTCAGCACGAAAGCAAAAAAGAAGAAGATGCAAAAGCTAGTTAAGCATAAAGGCAAACTGGTGCAAAACCCATTTTTAGTCTACGAGGTTCAGCAGACAAAAGATGGTGTTCCATTTTGATTCAAAGCAAGCTTAACGAGTAACGAAAGAAAGCAGGAGATATAAGGGAAAGAGTTACACAAAGGAGGGCAGGGCGTAATTTAAGAATCAAAATCAATACAGAGAATGGAAAATTAAAGAGGTAAAGAGTTCATGGAGAGAACAACTCAGTCGGGAGCTGAGATAAGGTGAAAGCAGCAATGAGCTCACCGCCAGCGGGATCTCCTGTTCCAGGAACAGGCTGGCGGTGTTCAGAGGGTGATGCATCATCCGGAGGAGAGAAAACACTCCAAACACAGAGAAAAGATGAGAAACCTGATCTCTCTCTAGCTCCTTTCCCATGAATCTCATTTTGAAATGGCAGTTCCTCCAGAGCAGAATCAGGCCCCCTTCCAACGGAGCCCTGATCAGAGCATATTCCTACAATCACCTCCTTGCATGGGAGAAAAGTTTATCTAGCTCTGCAAAATTCTCTCTAAAGAAAGCAAGCGACATGTCATTGGGCCGTAAGAAAAAAAAAGGGAGAGCTAGTCTGTATCTCGTGCCAGTCAAAGGAATCGGTGTCCCTGGTGCAACTGACCCACAACCTCCTGGTTGTGTGTGCATCATGGAATCGTGAAGTTGGAAGGGACCTCTAAGGGCCAGAGTAGACCTTTGGTCTAGAAGGGCGGGACAGAAATCCAACAAATAAATAAGGCCATCGAGTCCAACCTCATCCTCAAGGCAGGGATCTAAATCAGAACAGATCTGACAGAGGGTGGCCCAATTTTCTCTTGAAGGCCTCCAGCTTTGGAGGGCTCACCACCACCCTCTGAGGTCATGGGTTCCATTGTTGTACTGCTCTAACAGTTGAGAAGCTTTTCCTGATGTTGAGTGAGCAAAGATGTGAAACACGGTAATTAGTGCAACAAAAGATAAGATTTCGACAGATGACAAGGGAAAGCGGTAGCCTGAAAACCAGAAAACAAAGCACAACAGCCAGGTGGAGCAGCTGAAACTCTAGCAGCTCTTCAGAAAGTTCCCAAACAAAAGCTGGGCAGCCCCTTCCAACTCCTACCTCCCTTTCCCTGCTCAATCTCGGCTGGCCCAGCTCTTGTTCAAGATTAACCAGGGCCAGAATCTGACCGGTGTTGGCCTTAAGGCTTCCACCACCTGCTGAAACGAACTGCAGCCAACGGATACAGTGTCAGAGCACAACTCAGTTGCACCGTTGGGCATGCCGACAAGCAGAGGACTGAGAGACCCTCCTGTCATTTGACTGCTGTCAGAGCACAACTCGGTTGCACCGTGGGCATGCCGACAAGCAGACGACTGAGAGACCCTCCTGTCATTTGACTGCAATTAGTTGCACCAAGATTTACAACCCTCAGTCGGACAACAGTAAGATTCCCTGATGTTGGGAAAGTGTGAAGGCCAGAGGAGAAGGGGACGACAGAGGATGAGATGGTTGGACAGGGTCATCGAAGCGACCAACATGAATTTGGGCAAACTCTGGGAGGCAGTGGAAGACAGGAGGGTCTAGCGTGCTCTGGTCTGTGGGGTCACGAAGAGTCAGACATGACTTAACGATTTAACGGCAGTGTGGTGCTGGAGGAGGCTCTTGAGAGTCCCCTGGACTGCAAGGAGAACAAATCTATCCATTCTGAAGGAAATCAACCCTGAGTGCTCACTGGAAGGACAGATCTTGAAGCTGAGGCTCCAATACTTTGGCCATCTCATGAGAAGAGAAGACTCCTTGGAAAAGACTCCTGATGTTGGGAAAGTGTGAGGGCAAGAGGAGAAGGGGATGACAGAAGACGAGATGGCTGGACAGGGTCATTGAAGCGACCAACATGAATCTGACCCAACTCCGGGAGGCAGTGGAAAATAGGAAGGCCTGGCGTGCTCTGGTCCATGGGGTCACGAAGAGTCGGACATGACTAAACGACAACAAAGAGTCTGGTCCACTTTGCTGTACCCTATTCTATGCTAGTTTTCCACACACCTTCTAGTCTAAAACACAGTATAAATACAAACTGTTACCATGGCATGGCTGCTCAGATAATCAGGCATCCACGATTGAATTACAACCTGAGTGAGATGATAGTTTGGTCCCATGATATTTTGCCCGCTTTGTATTTTAAACCATTCAGTCAAAACATCCTTTTTCTTCAAAAGTATAAAACCCGGGGGAGGGGGAGGGGGAATCACTTACTGGCTGATGCCTTCAAAGGACGCCTCCCGGGTCACGCTTCCACTGTCGGTATTAACTCCCCGCTGGAAACGGAAGGCAAGAGAAGGAGGAACTTTGAAATACAGAGCAAAAGTTGCCATCTTAGATGACAAGAAAGAACGCTGCTGTGGAAACCATTCTGTCGTCTCTCTCACTAGCCCATCCCTGGCACGCTTTAAAAGGAGTCAGGAACCAGACCCTTCTTAAGGCTGTTCTTAATGGGAGTTTCAGAAGTAACTTCTAAAACTTACAAGGGGGTTCCTTCATCCCGCAGCTTTTACAAGGGATACATGCTGAGATGCAGTAAAAACAATATCTCGGTTTCCGCTCTCTTTGGTCCTTTGTCATTTTAAGTGTATTCGGTCCCAAAGCAGGGCTCAAAGGCACCCCGTGCAGCACCAGGTAGGACTGGATTGGGATTCACAGGACCTAGAGATCTCTAGGTGCCGTTCCAAAGTCCGTGATGGACGAACGCAAGGAAATACAGTCAATGTTCACTCCTAGGATGCAGGCGTGGAAGAGGGACAAGCTTCTTCAACCTAGCTACCTCTTCCTGCAGTTCCAAGACACTGACCAGGTTCTGTGCACAGAGGGCTTTTTATTACATTTCTTTCCCTTCTCTCCCTTTTTTCTCCACCTGCTTGAAGTCAGGGCAAAACACCAGCTCTCCAAAGCCTCTCTGCCTCGGACACTTTGAATAAAAATTCAAAAACGTCCCCCCGAAATGTCCCGATGGGGAGGCAACCTCCCTATGTCCCCCTCCCCTGTCTCGCTTAGGTGGAAATGCATTTGGTGACATAAGCTTAAAGAAAAAGACACGTTTCTAATGAGTCAAAAGCCACTTACCAGAGTCAGAAGCAGAGAAGGGTCCTTGGAAGCCAGAACCTGGGAGAGCTGACAAAAGGAAAAAGGAAGACGTGAGTGTTACACACATGGATCCTGGGCCTCAGAGGACACGGGTAAATTTCTAATATCCCTGGCTCCCCTGCGCCAATGGCTCTCACTCCCTTTCTCCACTGCCTTTACTGGGCCCTACCACGGGGGGCTTCATTCACAACTCTAGATTTATGTGTTTGTTTGTTTGTTTGTTTATAATATGTTCCCCCCCCCGGCTTTCTCCTCAAGAAGGACCCAGGGTGGCTCACATAATTAAAAGACAATATTTAAAAGCCAAAAACAGTTTGTATACAACTATTTTAAAGGATCAAATAGCTAACACACTAAAAATGGCAAACAAAATCGACACCAAAGTCAGATTCAAAACCAACAAAGGCACGATGCGCCTTTTAAAAACATCACTAACAGAAGGACTACACTAGCTCATTTTGTAGAAAGGAAGGTCTTGTTTATGTTGGTTATAGGAGGACAATCATCATCATCATCATCATCATCATCATCTTAGAACTGCAGAGCTGGAAGGGACTCTCTGGATCATCGAGTCACTATCCAGAGAGGACCAACGGGGAATCGAACCCCCAACTCACTGAGCTACCCAGCAGTCTTACTCTACTTCTTTACTGCAGGCATACACAAAGTGGTATATAGATTTTATTTTTCTTTTAAAGGTTCCACTCAACAGTTCTAAGGAAGAGCCCCATGGTAGCAGGGTGGGTAAAAATCATTTATATTGTTTAAAAAAACACCACCCTATTTTTTAAAAAAATGCACCCTGCAGGGCAACCAAAATATGGCTAGATGGAGTTATTTCAGGTTTTGCAACTAAAACTTTTAAAATGCCACAGTAAACATTGTTCCTACTCTTTGCATTTGGAATGTAAAGAATATATTTTAAAAAAACAAAGATGCAGAGGGCCATTTTTCTCCCTCTCAGATGCCTCTGAGGAGAGTCTTGCTACAGATTTAAAAACTAAAACAGGGTAGCGGAAGAAATGAGCTGAAGCTTCCATAACCTGTGCCAATTTCTTAGTTTTTTAAGGTGCTGCAGGGCTGGCCGTTCTTTGATTTTGCTGCTCTAAGCAAGAGAACCTTGCACTTCAAGTTGGCTTTCTTCAACGTGCAACTGCTCAACTTAAAACTCAGACCAAAAATTGATTATGAGTCCCTAATCTGGCAACAGCTCAGCTATCAATAGACAAATTCTTAAGCCAGGAGAAAAAAAACACACACACACTCAATTTAATACAGTAAAAAGAGCCACTGAAAGGAACAGTAAGGAGAGAAAATGAACAAGATCTAATTAAGACAGAAGAAGAAATCAATGAGGTGCATTAAACATAAAAAGAAAACCAGGTCTTTAAAGCCCATTTTTAAAACAGCCTAAATCTAGAGGACTGTTTAGAAAGATATATTTGCAGTCTAGAAAGCATTGCAGAGACGGAAATCATTCCAATATCCGAGGAGCTGGGATCACACGGAGGCTTAAAGCACGTATGGTTTTTGAACAGGTGGATGATGCAGGCTAGTTTACTTCAAGGATTTTGGAAATTAAACTTTGAGAAAACATATGCTTGGGCTGAAGACATATAGGCAGGACTCCGGCTACTTGATCACCTTTTCCCCAGCCTAAAATTAATTTAAAAAAAAAAAGCGGATGGAGATTTATTTCCCGCCCTTGCCCCAGAAAACACTTTGAAGCGCAGAAGCCCCCTCAGAAACGCAGTTTACAGATGGCACGCTTGACAATTTGTCAATATGTGTGATACTAAGCACCGAAGCACGGATTTCGCTTGTCATCCACTCCTGCAGATAAGGAGTCCTTAAACCAGCACTTCTATATTCGACACATAAAGCCAGATAACAAGGAACCCCGATTCCAATTCAGATATGTCAAGCAGCAAGCCTGCTCGGCATTTCGGCAGGAGGAAATAGATTAGCGCGACGTTATTTCCACACGGATACGTTCCTCCCCAGCATCCAACGGAACGTCATGTTGGAGCGCTGACAATAAATAAATAAAATTGGATTTTTGTAAGAGAACAGCAGTCTTTCTTGGGGGTAAAGCTCCTTCACCGCCTCTCCAGGGGTGGGAACCCGGCTGCAAGACAGCAGCTAAGGTGCGTGTGTGCAAAAACTCAGTGGAGCGGCCAGCAGCCTAAACAGGTACATTTTCCATTCCGGGCAGCCATTTTTGAATTGTCATTTAACTTTAAGAATGAGCGCCTGAGTTTGCTCAACGACCCCTTCTTCCTCTATGATTCTTTTCTCCCACATCATGTCATGGAGCCAGTAAGCCGGAAGGCCACGGCTGTCTTGCTGTTTATTGATTGTCCAAAAGCTGTTCTGGGAGTCTTTTCAGCTAAAGAGCAGGGCAGAAAGGTTTTCATGAATAAATACATTGCCCGGAGTGCTGTGGGATGCTGTTTCCCTCTTGCCATGAAGCAAGCTCTTTAAAAAAAATGTAAGCAACAGAGGAAATTTTCAAAAGCAACAAGCAGTAAGCTGCAAGGTGATCTGTGCACCAGAACATTCCACCAGGCCCGCTTAAAGTACCGGTTTGGACCATGGACAGAGCACGCGACTCCATTTCGGCAGGAGTAAGAGATTCGCCAACTCCACCTGCCCCTGATTTCCCCCCGACAGACAGACCACTGCAGGTTATTTGCATCCATCCACACGGAGGTTGGCCCCCAGTCGAAAGGCGCTCTCCAGAGTTGCCGGTGCTGAGCCCCATGGCCTGTCGCTTTCTCCAAACTGGGGCTTCTCCAGATGGGTTCACCGGCAGCCCCATTATCTGCAGCTAGCATGCCCGAGGGAGGCTATCTGAAGGCAAGGGGTGACGCAGAACACACCTCCCAGCTCAGCTGGGGTGGGAGGAACCCAGTAAACAAGCCTCATAGGGCTCCACAGCCATTTCTGAAGAACGAGACAGGGTGTTTATGGAGCCGCACGAATCCATGCAGCAGAAATAACCGCCTCCTTTTCCTTTTTGCAAAAGCAGACAACCAGGAGCAACTGGTTTTGCATGCAAGGGAGGGCCCCCAGGGCCCCCGACCTCCCTCCAAATTAAAACAAACAAACAAACAGGAAATCACCATCTAGTCGCTTCCTGCGCCAATCTGCTCCCACCAACCCTCAGCCTACGGAGAGTGCTGGGGACATAAATTTGGGGCTCAAAACTGCCCACCGTACCTCTACAAGATTAATGCCTAGAATCTGATTCTCCCCGGAATTCTTGCAGCATCCCGGCCAGGGCAGAAAACTCACCTCATCGGTATAATGCACTTCGTTGACGGCATACTTCTGCTTGAAGTATTCAGGGGGGTGGATCCTACAGAACAGAAACAAAGCCACATACTTGGTTATTTTGCAGCACCAACGGACGCTCAGTCCATTATTATTACTGTTAGACTCATTGGCCACCTTTCTTTTTACAAAAGAAGAAGGTCATATTCTTCCGAATATCTTCACTTTTGATCTTGCCTCACTGGGGCAGTTTCCCAGGACGTCTGAGCACCAGAAGACTGACAAGAAACAACGCTTTGCAGTGGCTTTCATCTCAAAAATAATAATAATTGTGTGCTCTCAAGTCAATCCATATTCTAACCCTTTTCTTGAGAGTTATGAGGAGCACCAGCTGGCATCCATCCATAGACATGCTGCTTTCGAGCTTCTGAGGGGCGACTTAGCCAGGAAGGCCAGTAGCCACTGATGGGCGTTCAGGTCTCATGACTTTATTAGACATGCCAACCCCTGAAGTCATTCCTACACCTCATGGCACCAAATCCCAGACATTCATCATCCTTCGTGTGAAGCAGTGCATTCTGAAACATGAACATGGAATCCTAGAATCGTGCAGTTGGAAGGGGCCTCTAAGGCCATCCAGTCTAACCCTCTGCTCCGTGCAGGAATCCCAATCAAAGCAGAGCTGAACACACATCCCAATTCGATATCAAAATAATTAATAAAAACAGCGTTTAGCACCAGAGCACTAAAGGGACAGAAAAGTAATCCATTGAGGATGGCCAGACATTGGGGGAAAGCACCGCTAGCAGGAACAGAGGAATTATGCAGCGAGAGGATTCAGCTTTCAGATGTCTTCATTCTAAACACACAATTGTATTTTAATAAAATTCTCAAATTTCATTTCTGACATTTACAAGTTGGTATATATATATTTAAAGGCCAGGCATAAAACGTTGAAGAGCAGTTGCTTTCTTTCAAACACTAATTATATATAAAAAAGCCATTTAAATGTCATCTTGTCAGCTAAGTATGATAGTGGAACAACCCATCAAAGAGGCAGCTATAAAAGCTGCTTAGCACAAGCACAATTACAGGAACATTAAAATGAAAGGAAGCTCACAACAGATTATCTATGGCTGTTTCTTTACGTTACCGATACCCTCAATTATACTCATCTTTGGCACTGTGCGAAGGCTTGAGAGTTAAGCATGGATTTCCGATCGAGAAATGATCCATCCCTTAACAAGGTCACGGGAGGACGGCTTTAGAAGCCAGCCCATTACACCAAATGACAGAGCCATGTGTACAGTATAGCACATCTTTGAGAAGTGATGGTCCTCTGCTTTTCCACACCTCTGTATCTGGCAGTTAGCATGTTTTGATATAGTCAGCAGATGGTAGACGAGGGCTTCACCTGCACGTCTCGATCACTCAGGCATGTATCTCTGAGGAAAACTCTTTGCGGGAAGGAAATAATAATCTTATAATAAGAAGACTGGTAGAGCAGGAAGGGACCTTGTGGATCATCAAGTCCAGCCCGTCATTGAGGACCCGTGGGGAATCGAACTCCCAAACCACTGAGCTATCTAGCAGTTCATTAAGGATAATTATAATCATCTTGGAACTTCACAGCTGGAAGGGACCCTTCTGGATCATCCAGTCCAGCCCCTGTCAAGGAGACCCAGAGGGGGAATCGAACTCTCAACCTCGGGTCCTCCCACCAGAGACCTCGGCCACTGAGCTAACCTGAGCCATCAACTTCAGAAGGAAAAGGACCAAAGAGAGCCTAGAACAATTTCAAACCATTGTAAGAACAGCACAAATGTACGGACCGGCACGAAGGGAAAACGCTTACGTGAAGACCACTTTTGCACAATGTTCAGAATAATCAGGTGTGAAGTTTTTTTGCTTTTGGATGAGAGCTCCCCAAATACACAGACTCCTACTGCAAATTATGTGAAGCTGACAGTTTGCATACGCACATTTTTTGTACAATTATCATGCCAGGATTTGTGTGGGATCCTCTTGCTTCCAGCTACCTCTCGTGTGCTGGGAATCAGCCCAGATCCGTCCACTGATAGATGGAGCACCACACGGGCCTGCCCACCGCCACCACCTACGGGAGTGTCTATCTGCCCTAGAGAGTGAAGGAGGCTTCCATCCTTCGCCATTCATTTCCAGCTTCCAGCCCTCCAAGATTGATGGGTCTCCCTGCCATACAGGATTTATGCTCCAGCTCCTTCCTCTGAAGGCATCATCTTTCATGAGCTGAATCTGGCTACTCCAGTAGAGATGATGAGGCATCAATCGCCACCCCACGAGGTGAAGCTGTCTCTCCGGGGTGGCACCGTCGCCTGGAACTACACGCGCATGAAAACCATGGGTCTCTTCTTCGCTTCCTTCAGGTAGAGAGCAAAGATTTCTGTCACCTTACTTTGACACACTTCTGTCCGCAATTACCTGCAAAAGTTTAACTCCACTCTGGCACATTTCGCTGCTGATTCAGGCTTCATCACTGCCGTCATTTTAGAAGCAGCCTCCTCTCCTTTGCCATTTATTAAAGTTCGTGTTTTAAAATTGAACAGAGGTGGAAATTCAGGGCATCTTTTTAGCCAAAGCCTCTTTAAAGCAACTGATTAAGAACTTCTTGGATTGAGAAGGTGTCCGGTGAAGAAGTACTGAAGTGAATGAACAAAGATGGAGAAATCGCAAAGCACAAGAAACAGGACGTCGTGATAAACAGACACCACAGTTGGCTGCAGCCAATCATTCAATTCAAGGTAAAACCAGTGGGGAAAGATATGCAGTGAAGAGGAAAATGGATTGGGTTGAGGAAGCTGGCAGACAAAACCTTCTTGATGATGTCCATCCTCAGGTACACGATGGATGAGAAGAAGAATACAAGGGAGTAATGGACGCGCTTCAGCCTCAGGTTGCTTGCCTGATGTTCTTTAGGTATATATTCCCAGTTTTTTGGTCCTCACACAAAAACCGTGACACAAAACACGTGTCAAAAATGTGGGGAAAAGATCCACGAGGCGCAGAGGCAGAAAACAGCCTGCGAACGTCTCAACTTTCCCAAATCTGAACAAAAACAAGTAAGAAGACGGCGTTGCCGCGGCGGCCGCGTGCTGTGCCAGGCAGGATGCTGTCAACAAGGCATGAAAAATCAGAGTGAGGGGAAAGGGACATTTAAACGCTGACAGGATGCTCGCCAACGCGCCCGCTCCCTGTTACACTAACATCAGACGCACAGATGGCAAAGCGTTAACGAAACAAGAGGGTGTCAAGACCTGCTAGGAAGAACAACAGGGGAGACTCGGGTAGGCGCGAGCAGATGTTTCCGACCGTGCCAGATATTTAAAAGGAGCCTCTTCTGTGCACAGCGAGACAGCTTTTCCATGTTTGCCAGGAGGAAAAAAAAGGGGGGTGGGGGTGGGGGAGAGTTGTGGAGAATAAGACGACTTTTCCACAAGACACTGAGCAGTGGAGAAGCAGCTTGGCTTCAACAGGAATGGGGTTCTGGGGTGTGTGTTTCCTGGTGGGAATCATCCAGGCCTTCTCACTTCTCCACAGTCCAAGCTGGAGATGGGCACAAAATGCCGGTTCGGCGGTTCGCGCCAATTTGTTTCTTGGCCGAACAGGTAAAGTCCTGCCTCCTCCGGGGGGGGGGCACCCACTCAAAGGCAGCATCCCGGCTTCGCTGCCCCGCCTTCTCCAGGTGCTGCCTCTGAGTGGGTGCCCCCCCCCGACGGAGGAGGCAGGGCTTTGAAGCCCCCCAAACGCCTGCTCGCCCAAGAAATGAACCAGCATGTGAGGTGGTTCGTGCCCACCTCCAGTCCAAATTGGTGGACTCGGATCTGCACAAGGAGAGCCTCTTTTTTTGGGGGGGGGAGCATTGCACCGAAGCAAGACAGCACCGTTTCAGGTGATAAGCTTTCAGCCTTGAAAGAACAAAACAAGCACAGACCTGTTCTTCCACACACACACACACACTTTCCCGAAAGGAATGGACGGCTCAGCAACACAGCAGAGATGGATTACAAGATTTGATGTATGGGAATCATGGACAGGTGTAAGAGCAACAGCCAAGAATAGCTGAAAGAAGAAATGTTGACAGCCGATGCTACCTTGCTGGTCAGATCTAAAACCCTGCAGGGCATGCATCTTTCGTTTCCAAGGATCCTGAAAAGAACTGAGTGCGCTTAAAAGCCAGCGTGGTCCAGTCGAGGGAGGGAGAGAAGAAGCATGGGACTTAAGACCTGGCAACCTGGAGTTAGGTCTCCTTGCCCGCCTTGGGCTGACTCTACATGCCTGTAGGTAACTCTGCTCTCCCTCCAAGAGAGCTTTTTCCATCTGCAAAAGGTATTAAAGGGCAACCACCATCAGGGATCGTGGCAAGGAAGGAGGCAGACATTGAGACACAGAGATCTCCTTCTCCATGCGTCTCAGGCAGTTCAGGCTAAGAGAAGAGAACCAAACTTAACAATCCCCACAAGGAGCTTCACGGCTCAGTAGAGATTTGAACTCGGGCCTTCTAGGCTTTGGTCCAACACTCCAGTGCCACACTATTCATGTCATTCGCCTCCACACCTCTCTCTTCAGGATACAGTGGTGCCTCGCTTAACGATTACCTTGTTAAATGACGAATCCGCTTTACAATGGTTTTTTTGCAATCGCTATTGCCATCACAAAATGATGTTCCAGATGAATCCGCTTTACGATGGGGTTTTTGCGATCGCTATTGCGACCACAAAACAATGTTCCTATGGGGGAAAATCGCTTTACGACAATAGGTTTCCTGCTTCAGGAACCAACTCTTCACATTACGACGATCTAAAAACAGTTGATTGTCGGGTTTCAATCGACTCTTCGCATTACGACGATCTAAAAACAGCTGATCGTCAGGTTTCAAAATGGCTCCCTGCTGTGCAAAATGGCTCCCCACTGTGTTAAGGATGGATTCCTCGTTATACAGGCACCAGAAAATGGCCACCCTATGGAGGATCTTTGCTGGATGATGAGGTATTTCACCCATTGGAACACATTGAACGGTTTTCAATGCATTTCAATGGGTTTTTTAAT